CATTTATAGTTTCTAACCTGTGTATCTTTTTACCTTTAGGATACCTGTCACTATAGTAACCAGCTGAGCATGTGAGCTTCTGGACAGTTTCTCAAAGAAAAGGACTTCAATGAAGCTCAACACTGTTACAGTTTTGGAAGTAGACCTGTATAACTCTCTGAGCTTGATCTGGCTAGTTGCCATGTTTTATTGAGAATTAGGATTACACAAGAGGTTTAGTCCCAAAGACACATATTATTAGCTGCTATGGATTAAAAAACAAAACAAAACACCCTCCACAAACCAAACCAAAAGGATCGTTTTCCACAGGGTAGCAGATGAGAAAGCGATTATCTGAGACAGGTACAGAGTTACAACCTGAAGTGATGCATTTGTTTCTTGTTTTCCTTCTCACAGCTTTGCATCTTACTGTTTCTGTGCTTTATAGGAATGATGTTACTAGGATTTTAAGTTGAGAGAACAAGGTGTGTGATGTACCAGTGCTGTGAATCAGCAGAGGGCACTACGTGCCTATAAACCTATGTAACTGTGAATTAACATGCAGAGTGACATCTCGGTGAAGTTAGCATCAGTTACTCCAAGCTTTAGTCGATTTACCTGGGGGAATATCTGTGCTCATTCAGTGATGCAGAGAATGCACCACACTTTCTTCCAATGAAAGCTGACTGTATTTATAAGATGTTTATACTGTGCTATAGAAAAATGCACGGATCATTGTCACCAGGGGCTTCAATTCACAATACTGCATCCCACTTGGGCCCTAATGTTTAGGGGAGCATGAAGTTGTCTTGTGCCTGCAAATGGAGACATTCTTCTGAGATCCCACTCTGCATTGAGGAACTGATGGTGTTTCCTGGCAGAGCGTGTCCTTTTTCAGCTAACAATTCACTCACTCTCACCCTCACAGGAGAAGATGTATGGGATCTGGTCCCTGTGCCCTCCCAAATGCTGGGGCTGATACTCAAGGGGCTACTGATAATTCAGTTGCCATGCTGTGTTTTTTTCCACCTGTAATAACCCACTTCTTATGTCAGCTATTTGACCTGAAACAGAGCTGATGTATGCAGAAAGTTTATTTCTATACTACTTATATTACATGGGTCCAGTGTAACTAAGCTTAATGTTGGTTGACGTGAAACGGATGAGAAAATCTACTGGGAATGGTAATATTTCTGACAAACTCTAGATTTCTCGTATCCTTGTTTGTTTATTCCTGAGGCAGCTGGGTGGTATGAGTTTCCTCTCTATAGTTTCAGCTTCTTCAGTATGCTTTAGCCCATACTGCAGCAACAGCCTTTATAAGCAGCAAGTGACCCATACGATAGCAGATAGACCTCCAACTGCTGATGCTGGTGTTCTGCTTTTGGAAGCATTGCAAGTGGCATCATGAAAAAGTTTCCAAAAAATATATATGCCTGTATTAAATACCACTAAACCCTAAAATAATAATTAAAAAAAAAAGGTAAGAAATACTTCTGAGCATTATAGTACTAGTGTTGAAATACCATGTCAAATGATCTGAAGGGGTGGTTATTATTGCTGGTTTTATACTGCTCTGATTTAGGTATAAAAATATTTGAAAAGGAAATGTTTTGTGCATCTTGAGGCATATTTTTCATCTGTGTCTTGTTTTTCTTTAGAGATTATACAGTACCAGGAGCTATGTAGAATGCTGTTCCCAGCAATATGATAGAAGTAGGCAAATTTTGCCTAAATATCAAAAACCTTGTATCTGCAAAAGTGCAAATTCATCAGAAGTAGAGCTGAAATGTTTCAGTTTGTTGGAAACTACTCCGAGTTATGTGTAGTCTTTCTTTGGTGCTGCTATTTTTGTTTCTGTGTAGAGCCTACTCTTGCAGTCTCTTCTCAAACAAAATTCTGATTGACAGCACCTGGAGTTTTGTCTGTGTAGGAAATAAGGATCAGGCCTTACAAAATGTCTTGGGAGCTCTTGAAAGTAACTTTCACTGGAGACTCCCTGACCTTGATTGTTTTTATTTTTCCAGGTTGAAGTTTGTTGTTGTGTTTTACGAGACTTGTCACCCCAGATTTCGGCACAAGAGACATGGCCAAGATTTTCCCTTTCAGCAGTTCAAATGCAGTGAAATAGAAGAATACTAAAACAAAGATACGTTTTGTGTGTCTTTTAGCCGTGCGCTCATGAGGAAGCACCACAGGGAATTCATAAGACTTGAGTTAACTCAGAGGGGATAACTCAGTTAGGATTGCCTCTGGCAGCGCAGGAAGCTCAGAACAAAATCAATAATTGGAATAACCCATTCTGATGCTGTCTTGGTTTTCTTGAGCACAGCAGTATATGTGTTTCATAAGTCTAAATCTGGGAAATGCTAGGTACTTAAAACCGAACTGATATGCTTTGTCTTTGGAATACCTACATGGTGTTTATAGTAGTGAAAGGTGGCTCCGGTGTTCAGAAGAAGGCATGGTTAAACTAACTTCTTGCTGCCGTAGGAGTTAGTTACAGAATTTTAATGTGCCCCAAAAGGCTAAAAGGTAATTACCAACATGGCTCAGATGTTACTAGTTGGGATGGGAGGGTACTCAGTCTGAGAGCTTTTGGTCTTCTTTCATAGCTCTTTGGCAGCAGAGTATGAAGGTGTGCCCCAGTTCAAATTAATTTCATGTGAAGAGATTCCATAATAGTGCCCAAATGTCTGTGTCAGGACCAAATGCTTCTGATGAAACAAACTCATTGAGTTCATCTACATCTACAGGGATGTGTTTTCCTGATTCCAATTTAATGTATTTTCATGTGGTTGAACACAAGAGCTGTAGAAATGTGCTTTTGTTCCATGTTGAATGAAAAACAAAACAAAAACAAACCCATAAACCAACCCTCTATTTTCTGGAGTATTTGTGAACATGCGCTGTAATCTCCATTCTTAAATTGGAAATGCTAGGTTTTCAGCCTTGGTGCCTCTGGCTCATGGAGTGACTAGAGAGCTATTCTGGCTATAACAAAACTTCTGATTGAAATCTTCTTAAAATTTGATTTTTTTTTGGCATTTTCTGAACCCTAATCTCTCCTCAAAAGCTCTTTGAAATGAAATTGTTGTTTTGCAGCTACTTCTTCATATGTCCATGTACCAAAGAATTAAATCCTTTCCTCCTACACTTTGCTTTCTTCCTAACTTTTATTACCTTGGTGTTTCTAACTAGGATTCCGTTAGAATCCTGCATCTGTATAAAGACTAGGTGAAAAGACAGTTTCTTCTTCACTTTCTCTAACCTGTTGGTGTGTTGTGTTTTGTTTTTTTTTTTTGTAAACTAATTTTCCCTTATCCTAAGGTTTGACTTTTGACCTTACTGCTTTCTAAGTATCTCTCTCTTTGAATTAGAAGTCCTTAAAGTTATTAGCCAGCATTTTTCAAGGTTGTATCTCATTTTGTTATTTCCAGACCAAGTTTTTGAGTCTTTCAGGATCCCTTTGTGCCCTTTTACTGTCTCTTCTGGTGCTTGCAAACACCTGCAGATTTGAGTAATGTGCTCTTGGTCCCTGCTTTCACATTATTAATAAAGAGGCTAAATCAAATCAAGGCTGACGCTTCTTTGCGTAAGTGGTCTTTGGATACTTCTCCTCAACAAGATACAGTGTTGTTGTTGTTACCCAGTTCTAAATATTAAATCCTGATGCAGTTGAAGCTAGTGTAAATATTTTTTTAGCGTTGGGTTGGTCTGATGCTGCATCAAGTACCTATTAAAAATTAGTACTTCTACCAGTTGACATTCATGCTGATGCAGTGCCTGTTTAAATACATAATTTAATACAAGTTTTGAAAAATCAGCTGTGGCAGGCAATTATGGCCTTTATTGTTTATCTATTTTATGGAGTCCAGAATGCATTGTGAAAAGATGAGTAACCACATAATGCTAATGAACATTTCTTTGTGAATTTTTAAAACTATTATGCTGCCATCCATATAGTCAGCCAGGGAAATCCCATGTAAATAAAATAGCTCTACAAATTACCTGTTGTCTTCCACTTTTAATTAAGCTAGACTTTCTGAATATCTAGTAGTGGAGATATAGATATATAAAATCTAACTATTAAATATATAATGATGTAATTAGGACATTTGTATTGGCCACACTACCACTCTCTGTAATTTATGGCTAGAGGTGTTGGATTGGAAGAATGAGTCGTCATTAGTAAATGCTACATTTTCTGTAGGGCTGGGGATTTTTAGGTAAGCCAAAACCACTTTTTTCCAGGAAGGTCTCTGAGCTATGATTTTAGTCTATAGTAAAGCTCATCACAGTTGCTTTTGATTTTGAAAGAAACCACCCCCCCCATCCCCTCCACTAAATACAATTAACGGTTCAGTCTTTTTATGAACATGTAGGAGAAAAAATGTAATATATGTTTCTCTTTTTCGGTAACAAATAGCCAATTTTTCATCTCAGTTGAGCAATGCTGTTCCTTCTAATTTTTTTTGTCTGATCTTAGTGACTCTGTTGCAGGGTATCAATTTTGTTGCCCAGAACTGCCCAATATAAAGCTTTGAAGCTACAAGGCAATATCAGTTCTGTGCACAACTGACTTAAGCATGATACACAGTTGAATGAAGTTACACATGCAGAATAACAGGATCGCAGAATAACAGGGCCACAGAATGGTTGAGGTTGGAGGGGACCTAGAGCTGGTTGTCCAGGACTGTGACCAGGCAGCTTTTGAGTATCTCCAAGGATGGAGACTTTACGACCTCCCTGGGCAACCTGTGCCAGGGCTCAGTCACCCTCACAGTGGGAAAAGTGTTTGCTGATGTTCAAAAGGAACCTCCTGTGTTTCAGTTTGTGCTCGTTGCCTCTTGTTCTGTGTGCACACAGACACAATCTGTTGGAAACTGTTACATGTAGTGATTAAACTGTGCTTTTTTTCCAGTGAACACAACCATTTGGTGCAGTTTCCTGCACACAGAAACCATGATTATGGTTGCATTTAGTTTTTATGATGTTTTTGTTTGTTTTTAATCTTGTAGGGCAAGTCTTACGCCTTTAAAGGTCCATTCCCTCCTATGTGGAATCCATTGGCCTACCTGGACTACAACAACTTATGGAGGACCATGGATGAAATGGGAAAGGAGGTACGGTATGAGGAATTGCAGCTGAACATCTCTGCTCAGCTTTGTCTCTGTGAGGGGCAGAGTGAAGACGGGACTAGGATGCAGATAGGCAAAGCTGCTCTAGCTTGAACAAAGCTGATGTTGGTAAGAGTGGCATCATGCCATGCATTTTGGTATGTGCTGATGGTCAGAGCACGTCTGTAGGTGGCATCTGGCAGGCTCTTCTGAAGGCCATGCTACTGAGGCTGTCTGCGGTCATACCTTTGTTTTGCTGGATATGTGAACATTAGGGTTTTATGTGTGTGATTTTTAGCACTTTGCCCGATGATTGGGTAAGTAATATTTTAAGAGGCTTGCAGACCTCAAATGTATGCCCTTCTCCATCCTCAAATTCAACTTGTCCATTTTAGTTTGTTGCCAGTAGTGTAAGTTTTCCATTGACTGAGCTACAAGACTTTGAGAAGAGGTTGCTGTTACTTGCATAGATGAACGGGAGAGAGATGAAATAAGGCAGAGACATTCCCCAGCACTGTACTTTGCCTTTCTAGGCAAAGTTCTTAACTCTAAAATTATTCTCTCTTCTTCATTCTAAAAAAAACCCCAAATATTTCAAAACGAGCAAGCAGACAACAAAAAACCTGAAAGCATCCTTTTCTAAGTTCACTGTATCACCTGCCAGGAATGTGCAGGCTGAATTACCATGTAAAGATGAGATTGTGATTGTTTGTGTTTGTTGTCTCTTTCTTGTGCCACTCATTCATTTGCTGATGAACTCTCTTTTATATCTCCTTAGATTCCCAGTGAAGCCCCATGGAAGGCTCCACACGCAGAAGAATGGGACAAAATGACTATGCAAGATTTCATAGATAAAATTTGCTGGACAAAGTAAGAAACTCTTTTCAATACAAACTATAATATCTTATATTTATATGCCTTAGAGCTCCAAATAAGTGTTACTGCTTTGCAAACAGATATAACTACCACTAGAACTAGAATGCAACCTTTTTAAAGAAATGGGATGAGAAAATATTGTAATAATGGACCACAACACCTGTCAGCACATGCAGCAGATTCTGTTGTATTTCCTAACTTTTTAGACTAAAATAAAGATAAAAGGAAAATGGTTTTTTTTGAAGGTTACTTCTGAAGAGATGGGTAGTACCTTCGTCTGTTATGTGTACTTTCCCTCTCTTTATTGTGTGTTTAACCTTTAAGAGAAAAATGCTCTGGCTACAGCAGGTTTTTGAATCAAAGTTTTGATGGAACAACACACTTTTATTCTGTACTAGACCAGCTGATTTTACCAAAGTGCTATAAAAATAACATTTGTCTTGAAATAGCACTAAATCACTTTAATACCCATCATTCTATTGTTTAACTGCTGCACTACATACCACCTAGGGAAACTGAAAATGCTTCCTGTTTTTATGTATACATCAAAGCAATTTTTCTTTACTTGCCATTCAACAACAGTTTGATTGGTTTTCTTCTCACTGAAGGGGGAAAAAAAACCACAATGAAAACCACATTAATTCTGCCTTGCTGTAAAGGAGATTGATTTCTACAGCAACCTCTTCAGGATTGCTAAGCACCCGACACGCAGCTACCACGAACCTGCAGGAGCTTGGTGCAGAGCCCTGCTAGCACCTGTCATTGCCTAGCACCTAGCACCTAGCTGACCCTGTCATTGACAGGGGCGTTTTTACTGCTTCAGCCAGCATGTGGAGAGCATTGTGATTGTTGTTAATGGACAGTAGGATCCTGTCCAAAAACTTTTAATCTTCTGGTTGTTTTTGCTTTAACAAGAGTAACAATTGCACAAATGCATATAGGAAGCCTTTCTTGTTTCTATCGCCATCCATATTCAGGAAAACCAAATAGAAATGTATGCTGGTGGTTCTGCTGGCCATTTGAACCTCTAGTTTGGTAAGGATCTACACAAGTTAACAAAATGCCAAGCATCGCTAGTCATTCAATATCCAATAGCTCACGTGACTACAGTCATTTTTTTTTTTTCAAACTCTGATGGAATAAGACTTGACATTTTACCTGAATATTGGCATAACTGTCAGCCTCCCTTAATTCCAAGATGCTTTTCAGATTTTATATGTGCATCTCAGCTTGATTTGCCTGGTTTGTTCAAGATTTAAGTAACATGCTGTAGAAACTTCCCACCCTGGAAAGTAATGATCCAGAATGGTAATCTTCTACTATTTCATCTAGCAGACTGTACAGATTTGCTTTTGGCTGGAGTTGCATGCTGGAAATGCCCTGAGTGCACTTGGTTGAAATCATACTGCCATTTCTAGGTAAAACACCAGGAGAAACTGGGGAACTGAAATGCTGAAAAGCAACAGGAGAAGGCAGCAGAAACTAGGAGAATTTAACCACCATCTAATAGCTTCTGCTTATAAAATATTAAAAAATACATATACTAATTCTCCCATTAGACAAAATATCTTTCAGAGTTGATCATATTTTACAGTATGTGTTTGTACAGACAAAATTGATCAATATTTTCTGTATTATTTTTGGCTGTCAAGAATGAAGCCAGAACACACTCATATTTCAGAAAATGGATCAGCTTTTTACTTCAGCGGGACTTTGCATTTTTAGAAAGGACAGAAGATGCCTTTTTTCTGTGTAGATCTACAGCTTTTTGAAATAGTATGTTTGTGTTACGCTTTTCACTTTTTTTTGAGAGAGAGTGTTCAAAGACTGAAAAAAGAAAGAAGTAACTAGAAGTGGATTCTGTACTGGCTTTGGATATTATTGGTTGCTGGATGCCTGGCATATGAAATACCTATAGAATCTCAGTCCCTGTCAATCACGATGCTGTTAAGCTGAGTGTCTCCTGGTCCTGTCCATGTCCCTTTAAACTCCTTCTCAGAGTGAGGGCAGAGGAAGTATTTACTTCTAACAGGAGGAATGTTTCCCTGAGCCTTGATTAACTCTGTCTTAGTGCACCCCAAAATCTTGTATAGGTTTATACAGTAATTTTCAGTAGAGCTGTTATGAAAGCACCAACTGGAGGACATAAAGCAGTGATCCTTTTCCAGACACAGGCCACTTTTCCACTTCTGTGGACCAGTGTTTAAAATACTGAGTTGAGCAACCAAAAGTATCCTTTCCCTTTTCTTGCCAGACTTCTGCATGAAGGTGTATGTGCTGTCTCTTCACTTATGGCTTCCTACTTACATTTCTTTTGTTGTTGTGTCCCAGCTGCAGCACCCTGCCTGAGCACAGCAGAGGAAGGGGCAGTGAAGGGATGCTGACTAATCCAAGGAGTTTAGATAATTAGCTTAAACAAGATACCTGACTTTTTTATGACAAGTGTTGAATCATCTCTATGCTGTGTGTTTGAGGGACAGGCATTCAATAGGTGCAAATAGAGCTGCAGATCTTGTATATAACCTGGGAACCATGGGAGGACATGGTGGTTTTGGAGTCCAGTGAAGACAGGAGGACTTGCTTCCTTTAATCCTGCATCTAGGATGACAAGCTAACTTTGCATTAGTAGCATAAAGTGACATAAGCTTTCATGGGCTCTTGTGTCTCCTAGAGCCCTAATTCGACTGGAATACAGCAGTGATTGATTAACTTTTTTTTTTTCCAGGGTTAATTGAAAAATGTTGCATAAAAGGAATTGATACTTTCACACTTCAACTGAAAATAAGGAATCCTTTGCCCTCAGTGAAAGAAGAGATTGCTGATGACAGTTACACGAGAACAATCTTGTCACCCTTCTTCAGCTTTTAAATTAACGCACTTTCTTGTCTTTGTTGCAGTGCTGCCAAGAGTTTTGCAACTCTGTTTGTGAATGTGGATGTCACTTCTGAACCCCACGAGGTCTCTGCCCTTTGGTTTTTGTGGTACGTGAAGCAGTGTGGGGGGACAACAAGGATATTCTCAACGACCAACGGAGGACAGGTACTGTCAGCTATCACCTTCTGCGGCTCGTGACAGGTTCTGTTTTAACTTCATTCTTTTGCTTGTTTATTTTAGTTCAGAGGGCCAACTGAGATGTCCATGACTCTGAGCCAGCGGCACATTGATAACTAGTTCTATTTATTTACATGTTAATCTGGATCTTGCAAAACTAGTGTTGAAGGCTGTTCCTGTGCCAAAGGCATTGGCCCAGGGATCAGTAGATTTGTATCTGTTCCTGACTCTGGCTTCCCTTTGGGCTCTGGTTAGAACATGTGCTCTGCTTATCCATGTTGAAAAAAGAAAGTTTTATTTATGCTTATTTCTGTCATGAGGCTGAAGCAAGCCTCGCCACTTCAGAAGCATTTAATGAAGATGGCAGTGCTAACTGCACGAGTGTGTAGAGTGCTCCAAATGAATACTGAAAGTGTAGCCCAGAGCTGGGTTGGTAAAGACGCAAACTTCCAAGGATTAAAACTATTAAGATTTTAGAATCTGCCTGAAGAAAATGAAGACCCCTGCTTAAATATGATACCTCTCTGAAATGTTTGAAATCTGGTACATTAGTGCTGCTTCTGCATTTTGAGAAAGTAAAGACTGTGTTAATGGTCTTCTACTTGAGAAATGCAAATTTTACTAACTGTATTAGAAATAATTCTGGTTTTAGAAATACAAATTATTTATTCCTAAATAAATAACTAAAAATACAAATACATTAAAACATGTTAAAATGCATAAATATGCATAGATAAGCAATAATTATAGATAATTTAACTGTAAAAATGTTGAATAAAATATTATTGGAATTCTGTATTATATTAGAGGTGATTTGAGTTTAAGTTAGGTTAGATTATATACTGCAGGAGATATTTTTGTTGTGAGCTACGTCACTTCTTATACTTTGTTATTTATTATGAGAATCAGGGTTCCTACTTCTGATACACAGAGCTTTGCAGGGGTAAGAGTGAACTCAGAGAAAGGTTTAAAAGTTTCAGTGCTTTTCAGAAGTCTTGCTGATTCACACAGGTCTGTGGAATCCATTTGGAGACTAGAGGAGAAGGGATTTTCTCATGAGGTTACTGATACTTTAGTTTTGGCTGGTGGTCAAATATGGGAAGTGTTTGAGGAGTTCACTGAAGGAGGAAGTAACGTGGATACATTCTCCAGGTGAGAGTGCCAAACTTCCCGATAATGTTTTGATAACAACGGAAGAATGGGGTTTGTTTCGAATGCTAAGCAAAATGTTTGCCCTGATGCACCCTTCACAAGCACCACTCTGCTGAGTCTGCTTTGCCGAGCTGTTGTTTTCATTTTTTTCAGGAGAGGAAGTTTGTTGGGGGCTCTGGCCAGATCAGTGAGAAAATAATGGAGCGCCTGGGAGGGCGGGTGAAGCTGAGGAAACCAGTCATCCGCATCGACCAGTCCGGTGAAAGTGTCATAGTGGAAACCTTAGATCATGAATTATATGAGGTAATGAAACTTCTGACATTTAAGCAACTGTTTGTGCTGTGATGGCTAGAAAACCTTTAGCTTTTCCTTTTTGACTTCTCAAAAATCCTGTACAAAAATGTAGCAGAGATTTAAGTGGCTATGACAGAAAGTCACCCTTTCTGACTGTCCCAAAGTAATAGCAGTGATAGAACTTTAAAACGGTGCATGAAAAACAAACTGTATATTCAAACTCTTCCTTTGCTAGCATCTCTTCTTTGTGTTTTTACCTTCTAAATTAAAGGATAATTGTAAGGTGAACACAAAAATGTAGCTTAGCAATAAACTTTCTGTGAAAAACATTGCAGGCTTTCCTTCCAGGTTGTAACAGAGGAGTCCAGATGGAAGGGAGACCAATGGACTCTTACAACACAGCAATTTTTTTATTTTTTTTTTTTTTTTAAGCACTGGGGAAAGAGCAGCTGCCCCTCATTCGAACAGATGGCTGTTTATGTAATGCTTGTTTGTTGTTCAACAAGCAGGATTTTGTGAGGGTTCAGTTTTGCAATTCTTATGCTAAATGTCAAAATTGCTTCAGAAGATACACCCTGCAGCCTCCCCAGATGTCTGCCAAGATCATTAGAGCAATATACTCAGGATGAAGTAGTGGAGAATGTATTTGGTTTACGTGTAATTTCTTTTCCAGGCCAAATATGTGATCACTGCCATTCCTCCAGCTCTTGGTTTGAAGATTCATTTCAACCCACCTTTGCCCCCAATGAGAAACCAGCTCATCAACCGAATCCCCATGGGCTCAGTCATCAAGTGCATTGTATACTACAAGGAAACTTTCTGGAGGAAGAAGGGTATTACCTTTTAATTGAAAGGAATAGTGGTGACATGACTATGTAGTAATGGAGTAGACTTTGTGTTTGGAGGATGCTGGACCTTGGAAGGAGACTTCATACGCTTCTATGCCATTTTTGCCTTCCCCTGTTTGAGAAACTTGAGAGGTTGGTTAGGAAGAGAGGGTGGATGAGGGAATAAAAAGGAGGAGGCAGGCATGAAGGGAGAACTCATGCCTGTTGCTTATTGCCTTGGTTGTTCTTTGTTGTCCTCTCCTTTTCCTTCAGTGGCACCGGGATATGAGTCTCTCCCACTTGTACAATAATGTAAAGGTACAGGTGATGTGTGATGGAAAGAGGTTTTACCCCATCAATTATTAGCCTGTAAAAATTCTTCCTCTGGATGCACTGGGCAGGATTCATTGAAGGTGTCTTCACATAGACATCCCCAGCTGGGCTGGTCATCCTGGACTCCCTTTACATACTGAATACTTCCATGATGATTCTTCAGCTCTCTTTTAGAACTTACCAAGTCTAAGATAAACTACAGTGTAATAGCACCCATTTCTCATCACTGGTTATAATGAGTCCACATTTGTGTTTGTCTACAAATGTCATCCACCTTTCATCTTTGTGAATCATTTTAAGAGTTCTGGATCCTGGTATATTCTGGCTATTAGGTTTGGGATGGATTGGCAAGAGATGACTCCCATTTCCTGATTGACCCCATAGTTTGTGTACTGTGCTTTGCTAATGCCATTGTTCTCCTTTTAAGAACAATTTATTTTCTTCAAACCCTTCTTTTAAGAACAATTGTGTTTTCAAAACAATGTATGAATATCTCCTGTGTCGGACATAAATGTCATATGGAAACAGCTGTGGTAGAGGCACTTGAACATCTTCAGTATCTGAGAGCGATCTGTTTCTGTGCAATTAATAGTTACCTTGCTAACTGGGTTAGCAGAATAACTTATTTTTCCATCATGAATTCAGCAATAGGAGATTCCTTTATTGACTTTCTGTTTTAAAGATGCTTGAGAAGGATTGTTCATTGGCAGTACATATCGAATCTAAACTTTCTCTTCTAGAGAGGATCTAGCACTTCTCTGACTCAAGGCAACACTACACTGCCCGGCAGATCAGCAAAGGATCTTGTCACTTGATGGGGGTCACTTTACTTGGATTCTTTGTTCTCCTTTCCTTTGTTTTCATATCTCCCTGTATTAGAATCAGAGTATCAGAGAATGGTAGAGATTGGGAGGGACCCCTGGATATCATCTAGTCCCATGCCTTGCTCAAAGCAGGATGTATTTAGATCAGGTTGTTTAGGGCTTTTTCCAGTCAAGTTCTGAGTATTTCACAACTTCTGGGAAGCTCATTCCTGTGTTTGATACATGGATCCTAACTTCTTTTCCACCTTGTGCTTAACAGGGTATTGTGGTACCATGATCATTGAAGATGAGGATGCTGCAATTGGTTTAACACTTGATGATACTAAGCCTGATGGCAGCTTTCCTGCTGTAATAGGGTAAGAGACAAAGAAAGTGTCTAGCTAATGCCTTTTTATTTTGTCTTAGAGGCAACAATTGAAACAGAAAACCTGCTACTTTTGAAGGGAAATACTTTAAAATATTTAATGGGTTGAGTTTCTCAGTGTATGGTGAGTATGTTCTGATTTTTTTTTTCCAAAAAAATTCTCTATGATTTAATTGCTAATTTAAAAAAAATTAAATTCTGTTTTTCTTTTCCTCACTGTCATCTTTTGCCTGTTTTGTGGCAAAGTACGAAATTGGAGAAGAGGAAAGGAAGGAGAAAAAAGGGGGTGATTGCAGAAATGTAAAATTTTCTACAGATATTTTGCTTGTCTCAAATCTTCCAGTTCTTTAAATGGAAATTTGTTTTCTAGAATTATATTTTGTTTTGTTCTGTGTTTTTTTTTTTAAACAGCCAGAGAGTATGATCAGTCTTAGAAAGTTTATTAAACAATAATTTCCAGTTCAATCCTCTTGTTGCTATATGCCTACACCCACTGCTGTATAAAATTAAGGTCATTAGGAAACAGCTCATAC